TTTGTCTTCACTCTCAATTCGTTGACTATTCGGAGTGACAAGGGTTTTAGAGGAAGTCTAACCCCTGTTACAAATGGAATAGAGGGCCAATCAGCGTAATGCCATTGAATCGGTATCGCAGCTGTGGGTGATTCCAGTCTGTAAAAGTAACCAAAAATATCGGAACATAACAAAGGCTTTCTTTATATCGAAAAAACTATGGCACGACTTGTGATTTTTAGCGAGATTCTTCAGCTTTCTAATCTATTTGCTATCACAGATCATGCTGACTGATTTTTATTTCTGATCTGTTTACTATGATAAAGCTACTATGACAACTGATACCCTTTTGAGGTCATGGCAATCTGTGTCTATTTTACGCTACGATTTTCAGCATCTTGTGTCCAATGATATGAATAACCCTACAATGCCATTGTTGATCTTAATTGCTGAAAATGTTTTTTTGAGTTTTACGTTCTACCGTTTAAACATTTGATAGAGGAGCCACTTCTATAATAGCAAGTAATTTGTGTATAAAATACGGTTCTTAGTGCTCTTATCGTGGATTAATTTTCTTATTCGGGAATAAAATACAAATATAAATGAAGAGCAAAAAGCCTCCTCAGAAAAACATGCCATAGACAGCAGAAGGTCAGTCATGAGGCTATGTTCCCACATCATCGAGAGCGAGTTGGGATGGGACGTTGGTGCATCAGCGCAAATCGCTCAACCTACCATAAATCTTTAACAGAAAGGGGTTACTAAGGGAATTTACACAATAACTCCCAAATTTGATTGATAATTGGGAGGAAGAGAACAAATAAAGGTTTTAGAGATTTGAACAATGCCGTAAAAATTCAAATAACAAAGCTATACCGAAAAGGCATTTCCCAATAAGACAAAATGAGGGAGGAATGGCTGGAAAATAAACCACATACTTGTATTGAGGTTTCACCAACAAAGAAAGCTCTCCATGCTCAAACCTTAAATACCTCTAGATTAACCAAGGCAATAAAAATTCCACGAACCACACATCTTACCCTAAAATTACAAAACAGATCTTCAGTAGGCCGAAAGACTCCTTGCATTGCCCATAAAGTAGTAGATTGAATACAAAACAAACCTGAGTAGTCGTGATACAAAACTCATACTATTCTTATTCATCTGTTTACTTCTTTTTGCTGTTATAATATCCGATGCAATTTGCTGACCCAGGTAAGCTTTTTGTTCCGTCTATGATCTCATTTTCAATTTTACTCTAGTTCATTGAGATATCTTCTCATGACTTTTGCATGTATTTTATTTTCTTGAAATTTCACATTATAACCATCTTTCAAAGGTTTTTATGAAAAATTTAAACCGTTTTAGAACAAGCCAGATACTGTTTCAATGGGAGATCTTGATGCAATCGTAGGTCAACAAAAAATAACGAAATATGTTTTCACAAAATATCAAATATAAAATATTTTAATGCAAAAATAAGCAAGTAAAATCAGAATCAAGGGTTGAGTGTGGGAAGCTATTGGTTAGGAAAAAGAATAGATGTGAAGACAATAGGATTTTAAAGACAAAGAAACGAATAAGAAACATAACTCATCAACTTTTCTAAGAGTTTTATCTGAATGATTTTCGCGAAGGTTATGCTTGTGAAAAAAGGGCACAAGTGACTTGCAAAGAAGAAATTATTCGACATGCTGGAATTGTTGAAAACGTAGCATAAGGAAGCTACAATTGTCTAGATAAAAGCTGAATAGGCTAATACAAAAATAAAAAGAACAAAGAAGTTTAGAAGGAGCAAAGCATATGGAAGTTTTGAGGATCTCTTTGAGAAGAAACAAGAGTGCTAATTTTCCTTATTAGGGCCTAATGGTCCTAGCTACATGCTCACCAGCCTTTCCATAACATCATCAACTAAAACAAAATCAGCCAAAGAAATGTTTTGAGATTTTAGAAGATAAAGATTATGTTTACAGTTCTTATAAGGGGACGATGACTGCAATACACAAATGTGCAAACTAATTCAAGAAATAACAAGCAGGAAAGTTTCAAGATATTCAGGATTTAAACGGGCCTATGGAGGTGGAGCAACCGTTAGAGAAAGAAAAGTTGAACGACGTGCAGAGTTCTGTCCAGTACGTTTCTCTCAGATTGGACAGAAGCCATATGCCTCATGCCATTGAAATAGGAGCATTTGTAACCATCAAATCAAGAAAGTGACATTGAAATATCTCTTAAACAAATGGAAATAGAATGGCACTAGTTTGAGACAAAAAGAGTACCAAAGCGGGATGTCACAAACATTTCACCT